TGCAGGGTAATTTAGGCTCCATTAGTACTTTACGCATACCTCTATTATAGTACTTAGCACATCATGCTATAATTTCTTGTTTACCTATCTGTCTTCACCACTTGACTTTGAATTCCTCCAGGGCTGAGGCTCTGACTTCACTTGTCCTGGCATCCCACTGCCTCCTCTGAACCCAGCATGTTCTCAGCATAGTAGGCCTTTTCATTAATGAGCTGGCTTTGTAGTAAGAAGGCTCAGGAGACTGGTATATCTAGTATTCGTATGTGTGTTTATTCAACACATATATTTGTGATATTTATTTAATTTTGAATTCATAAGCACAAATTGTATACATTAATGGTGTACAGCATGATGCTCTGAAATACGTATGCACTGTGGAATGACTATGGCATGCTAACTGGAGGACGCTTTATTACACACGTTTCTGGCTTATGGTGAGGTCTCTTTAAATCTGCCCTCTTAGTAATTTTCAGGAGCAATTCAATGGTTATTAACTGCTGTTGACTATGACAGAGTCACTATGATGTACAGTAATAGACCTCTTGACCTTATTCCCCCTTTCAAATTGAAATTTCATGGCCTCTAACTAATTTTCATCAACCCACCTCTACTGGCCGCCTCTTGTAGCTGCCATTCTAGTCTCTGCTTCTATCTATTTGGCTTTTAAAAGACTCCTAATGTAAGTGCAACCAATATTTGCTTTCCTGTGCCTGTCTCATTTCACTTTACAGAGTGTCTCCCCATTCCACGTATGTTGCCAATGGTAGAATTTGTTAAAAACCTGAGTACTGTCCCAGCTTGTGTATGACATCAGACAGTTTCTTCATTCATCCAGCAGTGAGAATTAAGAGTGCTCCCGTATGGTGGCTCTTGTGAGGCAAGAAACACAGGGAGTGGGGTAGTCTCTCCCATGTACTGATTTCATCTCCTTCGGGTGCATGCACAGCAGTGAGACTGCTAGACCACAAGATAATTTTACTTTTAATTCTTGAAAGGCCTCCGTATTGTTTTTCAGAAAAGCTTCACTGTTTCACATTCCCAACACCATGTTCTGGGGTCCCTTTTCTCCACATCCTTATCAGCATATATTCTTAACAACAGCCTTAAGGGTAGAAGTACAGTCATATCCCATCATGGTATTATCTTACATTATCTTATTTTCTTTTAATTTTTAGTTTTTTAGTATCAGGCATTGAACTTGTGCTTGCCAGGCAGGCGCTTAAGCTGCTGAGCTATCTCCCTGGACTTCTATCTCACATTACCTTGGTGATTAATACTGTTGAACATTTTTTCACATACCTGTTAGTCATTTCTGTATCTTATTTTGAAAAACATCTACAGTAATGCCTCAGTTCACCAACACTTCTATTTGGAAATACAAGCATTTGGCAAAATTCTGCTTCTGTTTTCAAATTCCACATCAGGTGACAAACAGGACCGTGGCATCTTCCCACCAAACCTAAATGCAGTGTTCTTCCCCAAAATTGTAAAGCAAATTAAGTCCATAAGCCAAGGTAGCACTGTATTTAGATCCTGTGTGCATTTTTAACTGAGTGACTTATTCTCTTACAGAACAGCTAGTTATGAAGTAGAGACTTTGTGCCCAGCAGTCTTCCAAGCTCTAGGAATTCAAACGAAGCATCTCCGAGCCCTAAGACATAGTTGCATTTAAAGAAGATGAATTCCTCATTACCATGCAAATTGCAGAGATGCATAAGGTCCAAAGGAAGGGAGGAGAGGGCTTTCAAGTATAACGGCTGCGGAGAGGCCCAGGAAATGGTTCCTAGAGGAAGAAACTGCTGGGCTGTCTTTTGCGGGATGATTCTGAGATAACCAATCAGGCTTGCTGAGAAAGCGCATCATGGAGAGGAGGCAGGAAGAGTAAGGTTATATGTGTGTGTCTGTGTGTGTATGGAAATGACCTGGCCAGCGAGGTTGGTCTTATGGTCATTTTGGTCAAGTGTGAGAAAAAAGAGGAAGCTAGAGAGAGAGTACCAAAAATAGGTGGCTGAGGGCAGTTTATGGACAGTTAGGAACTCAGAGATCATGCTGTAGGTGACTTTAGTGCGGTAAAAGGACAAAGCCAAGGACAAAAATGGCACTTGAGAAAGAATTACCCCTGACCTTATGAAGAACAGAATAAAAAACAAAACTAGAATCTGGAAAAACAACTAGAAGACCATGGCGATCGCATTAGTGGGAGACGGAGGCAACTTGATCCAGGTAGCTCTTTGAGGACTGCAGAGAAGAGGACTGGCTTGAGCCCAACTTGGGAGATGACTGCTGGGACACAGTGGTTAGTGGGCTGGAGGAGTAAGGAGGGAACAGGGGCAGGAGAGCCTCCCAGCTGGATGGTGGGGTCTTCCTCTAAGACGCCACAGATGAGAGGGGCCCGTGTTGTTTATTTTACACATGTTGCATTTGAGATGTGTCTGGCTTCCTCTTAACAGCAGGCAGCTGAAGGCATGTTGGAAACTTGGAGGAGGTGTGGAGAGGGCTGATCTAGAGGTATAGAATGTGAGATTCCAAAGGTGGAGGTAGAAACCACAATAGCCGCTAACATGACCAGGGTGAGTGTGTGGTACGGATAGGAGACTGCTCCTGGGAAATATGACTGCAAGGAGCTGGCAAAGAAAGAAAAGAGGGGCCACTGAAGAGCCTGGGAAGAAGAGTAAGAGTGCGTTGGCTGTGCTGGGGAACTGTTGGCTTGCCCAGGAGGGTGACTCCCCTGACCCTCCAGTGCTGCCCCCATGGTACTGTCTTTTCCAGTGAGTCTGCTGTGTGTCCTTCATGAAGGCTTCCATAGTTATAAGTTAGCACTGATTTTGCTCTTGTCTACTGTCTATCTCCCCTGTTAGAACATGAACCCCACAAAGCCAAGAGGTAGCTCGCTCTTATTCCTTAGGAAATCTCCATCAGCCAATAAGTATCTAGCAAATAGTAGTTGCTCAATAAATATTTGGGAAATTAAAGAAGGGAGTTCCAGGGTCTTACAGTGTAGTAAACACAGTTGCAAAGAACGTCACGTCTACTAGTTGAATTACCTGTGTACTTTTCTAAGTAGAAAGTGTGCTTCTGTTTGCATTTTTAGTGTTTCTTGTGAAAAACAATTCTACCTTGAAGTTCTCACATATTTTAGGGCATTGCCAAATTTCTTCTATTTCTCTTCAATAAGCATTGTCCTATGACAGTCTTATGACATTTTTTTTCCTCGTCTCTTGTTTTCACTTACTATCTTTTCTTTTTTTTTTTAACAAACATTTACTTGAGAGACAGTATAGCTGTAATTGATATGATATGACAAGGACTACGAATTTAGAAGACCCAGAATGACAGGCATGCCAAGCATGACCTTAGTATTACACATTGCAGTCTTTGGTGCAGTTGCTTAGTTCACAGGTATTAGCGTATATAGTTAGTCAGGGTGAGAATCCTCCCAATTAACTGCTAGTTTCAAAAACCTGCTGAAGATTCTCAGGATCATTGCCTTGCCCATGTTGTGCATATAAATATATGGTTTTACCCCTGTCATGTTTCCTAGCTTTTCTCCTTGAGCTCTCTTCATTGTTTAATCCTTAAGTTCTTGCTTTATGGATGGAAAAGGCAATGAGCAGACCCAGGGTTCATTAGTTAATGGCACTGTGACCCTGTGTGGTGACAGCCATCACTTCCAAAAGCTCTTGGTCTCAAGGAGTGAAAGAGGGGAATGTATCTGGTTATTCAACCAGGAATAGAAGTCATGGTGGGCAGATGGTCACAGTGGAGAGCTTGCCATGCTTTTGGAAATATTTTTGTGGAAAGTTTTATAAGAAAATGTAAGGCTGGTCATGGTGGCATATGCCTGTAATCCCAGTACCTAGAAGCAGAGGCAGGAGGATCCTTGAGAATTTGAGACTATCCTGGGCTACAAAGTTAGCTGAAGCCTAGCCAGAACTGCACAGTGAGACCCTGTATCAAAAAGAAAAGAAAAGAAAATATAGCTGGGTTTGGTGGTGAAGACTTATAATTGCTATACTCTGGGAGGCTGAGACAGTAGGATCCCAATTAATGAGACTCTGTCTCAAAATTAAAAATTAAAGTAAAATCAAATTTATAAAGGGCCAGGGATGTATTTCTGTGCAGGCTCTGGGTTCAATTCCTCAGTGCAGAAAAACAAAAGGAGATGAGTTTTGAAATTACATACTTTTTGTATAAAAATCTTTCTATGCATGTTTAACTTGTTACTATTTGCTAAAATGCTGAAAATTAATTGGACTTAATGTCAAAACACTGAGCCTCACAAATAAGTTTGAATGTCTTATGAATATTTAGGGGAGATCTCATCTATGGGTTTTGGGGCAAATGTGGCTGTTGAGGCCACTGCAAGAAAACACTGGGTGGCCTACAAAACAACAGACATGAATTTCCCACAATTCTAGTAGCTGAACCTCCAAGACCGAGGCAGATTCAGTGTCCACTGAGGACCTGATTTCTGATTCCTAGATGGCTGTTTTCTCACCATGACCTCCCATAGAGAAAGAGGCCAACAAGCTCCCTTGGATCTTCTTTTTAAGGGCAAAAATTTCATACATGAGGGTTCTTCCCTGGTCACGTAACCACCTCCCTAAATCCCTGGATGCAAACATTTAGACCATCACAAATCACTTCCAAAGGAAGAACTACTGGGACATGATCTCAGGAATGAATTGCTGGTTCTGGTCAGTCATCCTGACCTGTCCAGTCCATGGACTCTGAGGACAGAGATTTGTTCCTGGTTTTGCTTTGCTCTCCCTATTTACTCTGTAGCTCTTTCTCCCAGTTCCCGAGAGCCCTGTTGAAATCATTCATGGCAACAACTGCAGACTTACATCACTGTGGTGAGAGCCTTTCTCTGAAGAATTTGCGCAAATCTACAACTCGGTTGCCTGGGGAAACCATCTGGTGACGTCACAAGGCGTCTCACTTCCAGGTCTCTCTTGGTGTCCTTTGTTGAGGCTGAGGCAGGCCTCAGTCCTGTGCTTGCTCTATCCAGTCATGTCTCCTCCCCACGGAGATGGTGCCAAGACCCTGTTCCTCTTTTGGCATCACCTGCACTCAGGTATGTGGGCTCAGAACCACAGGACTCTTCCACACTGCTGCCCTCCAGCCACAGAAATGACTGTGGAAATGGTGTCAGGTTAAACTTGAGTAGCTCCTCCTTCTGTAGGGCAAAGGTGTAAAACTAAAACAAAGAAAAAGAAAAGTCTTTGGCCCTGGAGGACCACAGGTTGTCTTGTCAGTCTAGGAGCAGATGCTCACCTTTCTCCACACACCCAGTCATCTCTACCTTCAGCCTTAGCAACCTGTGCTCATTCTCTCCAGAGTTGGAATTGGAGTTGGATAGAGTTGGAATTTTCTGTCCTGCCCCAGTGAAAAGATGGTTGGGCCCTGGCAATAGTTTACTAGATCCTGTGGGTATTTCCTAAGGCACCAGTGCCACTCACTGCCCCAGTGCCCTAGTCAAATAGTGCAAAGTGCAACCCTTGCTTCATCCCTTCTTCAAGGCTCACCATTCAAATAAGTGCAATCTTCAGATTATCTCTCATTATCTTAACACAGGTGTCTGAATACTGGCAATAATCCCTTCTCCCACACTGGAAAAGAACCTGAGAGAGAAGCAACATCCAGCCCAGGTTGGGACTCTCCTTCCCAAAGGGGTGTGTTTTATAGCACTCCAGTCAGCGGAGGACTTGCTCTGTGACTACAGAAGAAAGGAGGCAACTGAAGACATCTGCAGTGGCCCATGCAGAGCCATGGTGAGGACTGCGATGTGTGTGTACCACTTGATTCTTCTGAACTGGTATATCTTCCTCAATTATTACATCCCACAGCAAGGAACCATCTTTCGAGACGGTGCACAGTCAAAGTACTTGACCCTCCTCAACCTGGTGAGTCTAAGCTCCTGGGGGCACTGAGGCACTTGTACTGTCAGTGCTCCTCCGAGTATCCCCTTGGCCTTGCATCCCATACAAAATCCTATTCTTTATCATCTTTTATTGTCGGTGACTTCTGCTTGCTTCCTAAGTGGTGTGCACTGGGAAACCAGGTTAGAAGCTCTCTGTGGCTGCCCTTGTGGGCTGGCTGATGGCTATATGATCTTTTGAAAAGAATTGTCTTGGAGCCCGGTAGAAGGACCAAACACATGGTTTCGTGTGGAACTGATTACAAATGCAAGAGGGATTTTGAACCTTGCTTGGGAAAGTCTGTGAAGAGAAGACAGAGTGGCGTATGTTGTGTAGGAAGTGTGATTTCCAATGGAGGAATAATGCCATTTTACAGCACACATAGACTAACAGATTTATCTAAGAAAAGCAAACACATTTTGCCATGTTCAGCCCCCACTCCAATTTTTTATAGGCCCAAGCTCCATCTGAGAGGACAAATCAACCAGCAGGATTGCAGCAAATACACATTTTTTAACTCTTTAAAAGCTGATCTGATAACTTAAACCCTTCTTATCTTCTTAACCTGGCTCAGCCAAGTTGCTGGTCAATGACAGCAAATAGGAGTGACAAACAGATTTTAAAAAGGATCTGGGAATATGTTTTAAAAAGTTAAAAGCTAACAACGGGGCATCCTTTGGGGGTGAGAATTAGCATTTGAGGTTTTTGACTAAAATACAGGAGGTAGTATAAACACTTGACTTCAGAAACTGGACAGAAGGTTCTGACCCCATGGGATTGGAAGACCCAGGTGGTGAGCAGAGGGCCTGCATGGTCAGAAACACTGGCTCTAAGATTCCTGGAAGCAGAGGGAGGGTGGTTAAGATTAAAAGGCCAGACGGTGCCTCCTCCCCTTTGGCCGCCATGTCCTGGCCTCTTGCTTCTGGCCTGAGAAGACCAGGCTTCAGACACAGAAAATACCAAGGTGACTGCTTGTTTTTATCCTAAAGTTTTATAAAAACAACTCACAGAAAACCAAACAAAAGATGCTTTTATGGAACTGTAAGGGCACCATAACTTATTGGATCTGTATTAAAAAAGGGTCAAATTAAAGAGAGGGGTGCCCAACCCAGGAATGGTGTCCTAATCAAAGCCAAGTCCAGGATGGCTGCTCTGTCTTCCAAGCTGTGTCTAAGAACAGATTTGTCACCTACAGCCATAACCCAGCTCTCCGGCTTCCTACTTGAGCCCACTTAGGTGCCCGAGAGCTTTTGAACACTGTCATCTCCTGGGGGGAATCTCATTTTATGGCTCCATGTCTAATCAGCCTTCTTCCCTTGCCAGTTCTGTAGTTGAGTCCAACCTTTCTTCCTTTCTCAATCTTAACCGCCTCTCACATGCCAGGGTCCGTCTACTATGCCCTCCCTAACTGATCCATCCATTCACCACTGAGATTTCAGACTCATCTCCCAAAGCTTGATATTTTATTTTGTTCTTAAAAACACAAAGAAATGAAACAAAAAATCATGACCTCTTTTTAAAATGTGTTCTGCTGATCAGGAAACTTTGGTTCCCTCCTGCTTTGTGGAACCAACCCTGGACTCCTGATTTCTGAATTCGTGCTGACCTAGCCCTCCGCGCTCTCCCCGCAAAAGGCTGCCTGGCCCCCAGGGCTGTTCTCTAGGTTTCCTGCCCCCACTTCTCTGCCCTGCTCTTGCAATGCTTGAGAAAGGCCCAGCTGTGTCTCCTTGGTCACCCGACCTCCTCCACTGTGCCTAGAAGTCTTTGCTGATGAACTTCAGCCCAAGTGGCTTTTCTTTTCTTTTGTTTTCCTTTCTTTTCTTTTTAAAAATATATTTAGTACAGGCTCTATAGGGACTCACGACACAGATCGGGCTCGTAATGATTCCCCTCTTTTCAGCCTCCCAAGTGCTGGGATTACAGGCAGGCGCCACCAGGCCCAGTCGGAATCCTATCTCAGCGTGCCCTGGGGGCGTGGCTGGCATGGCACTCCAGGGATCAAGTCCTGGCCATTGTGCTCTGCCTAAGCAGGCACTTTAGTCTGCTGTGCTATCTGGCCGGCCGGGTGTGTTTTCCTTTCTCTGACTTTTCAGAACACCTTCGTAGCTGCTTATTTATGGATAGTATTGTTTTGTACATCTTTCCCTCACATGTGAATCCTAACCTTCCAATCAGAACCAGGCTCAAAAACAGAAGTTTCTCCTCCCAGGTCCTTGTCAACCCTAACAGTTTACAATCCTGCGTTGTATTTGCCAGGCAGTGGGCCCAGGGTACTCAGTAATGCAAGCTGGGCCGTGTGATCTGGTGACTTGGCGTGACTTCACCTCCTGCATTCCTGAGCAGTAAGCCAATGCTGACTTCTGCCCTGACACAGGAACAGAAAGGGACTGTTCTGGGTCATTTCTTAAAAGTGTCGTTTATGAGTTGCTTCCCACCTGGCAAAGACAGGCAGAGCGTATTTCAGAGGATCAGTTTCAAAAATGTGTGCACGCCTGTAATGTCAGCGCTGGGAACAAGAGGGTCACTATGCGTCCGAGCTGTGTAGTGAGACCCTGTACCAAACACATTTAAAAACCCCAATCCTTCCCCCCAAAAAAGAAAAAAAAGAAAAAAGTGTTACTCGAGGAAAAATTTGGGACTTTAAAATTTCTAGCTTTTGAAGTCTCATGGGCTTGTTTTTTACTGACTTGTGTTAACTAATAATTAATTAGCTGACGGTTTCCCTGATCAAATCATAGAGACTTTATAACTTGTTCTAACACGGGGGTATTTCTGTTACCTCTTTTGTTTTATTTACCTCGGCGTAGTGGTATTATTGTGCAACTGACTGATCAGGAAGTTGGTACACCTGTTAAGCAGCTTTGATTTCTAAATGCTTGATTATGTTTCTTTTGTGTAAGGGGACACTGGGGTTTGAATGCAGGGCTTTCACAGAGCTAAAATCCCAGCCCATTTTAAGATAAAAATTTAATTTTTTTGAGAAAATTTTGCTAAGTCTCTAATTTGTGTAGGCAGGGATCAAATTTATGAGTCTCCTGCCTCAGCCTCCCAGAGGGCTGGCACTATAAGCATGCGTCACCACACCTGACTGGCTATGTCCCATTTTTGAGAAGCAAAGCTCCTCTTAGGGTTCATTCTGAGCTTTATCCCATGCCCCTTCTGCAAATCTCAAGGGATCAAAGAGAAGCCAGAAGGGCACACCTGTAGTGTTGGCAGCAGAGGTACGGAGTCATCCACGGAGAAGAGTCGGGAGGGCGGGAGGAGAGTAGCCCTCGGTTTCAGTAGAGAGCACAATGCCTCTTGAGTCCCTGGCAAGAGGAGGAAGGAGCGAAGCCAGCCAGGTGTCTGCCGCCCTGAGCCTGGGCTGGGCTCTCAGTTCCACCCCGTCCCTCTGTGACCTGGGTTTAACCCTTGTTCGTGTCTTTCATTTCCACTACTGTGGAAATAGAAATTGAATAGTACCTAACCACAGCATGGCCACAAGGAACCCACCTGTCAGGTGGGAAACATACCACATCTCGTGGGTGGAGAGAGAAGATTGAGAGGGGACAGGAGTGTGGATAGAGATGGTGCGGTGGGGAGGGTGGCTCATGCGATGCCCAGGCAAGGGTCAGTTGCCACCTGCATACATTACCCTCCCTTGCCCAGCTAGCAGAGATCTCTGCCAAGCCACTGTCCTTCTTGCACTTGCTGCTGAGGTGGAAGCTCTCAGGCCTGGAGGGCTCAGGAGGTGTAGTCAACAGAGAATAGAGTCCTACACCCAGAGTGAGCCCCAGAACTCCTGTGAAGACCAGTGCACCCCTGGGTGCTTGTGTTGGCACCAGCCCTCTCTGTAAGTCATGGGAGTTCAGGAGGGCAGAGAGCCGCAGCAGTGCAGTGTGCAGAGTTCATTGACTTTGCTGAGGTTTCCCCTTGTTAAAAATAAACTTCCTTCTTAAACAGTGCTACAGTTGGTGCCGCTTAACAGGGATCTCCAGGGGAGATTCTGGGTCCCTCTTTACCCCAATCCCCCATCCCTACTTTGGCCACAGAGGTGGGAGATTTCTCTTTGTTCTCCCTGCAGTGGTTCAAGGATGAGGCAGACATCATGACTCAGGGCTAGGGCAAGAGAAGTCTAGAAGATTCCATAGGCCCAAACTCCAGAGCAGCCTGTACACTGCGAGGAGACGGGGTCCCTTCTGTATTCTAGGACTTATTTCAGTGCTTGGTGCAATGCCCTTCATTCCTGCCATCACATTGATATATTAACAGGGACAATGCTTATCCTTGATGGACTCAAAAAACAAGAGCTCTCTGCTCACTTCCTGTGTGACCTGACTTCTGTGTGCCTCAGTTTATCCTCAGGTAGTGCTGAAGAACATGGATCTTGTCACTTTATTCCAGCACTGAGGTACTCACACCCCAGCTCCTAGGAGAAGGGACTCACATAGAGCAACTCCTCCTAGACCTGCCCAGCAGTGGGAGGCTGCCCCATCAAGGTGCTGGGCCCTCCTTGAGGCTGCTGTGCCCCGTGCCTGCTTGATCTGAGTGCACAGGCCCTGCTCCAGGGCAGCTCTGAAGGGCTGGCTCCACGTGTGGGGGTCTTGCTGCTGCTTCCCAGGGCACCCAGCCTTCATCATGTCATTAGTAAGGGCACAGAAGGTTGCGGTCCCTTTCCTGCTTCCTGCCTCCTGTCTCCTCCTCCTCCTCCTCCTCCTCCTCCTC